GACGGCGCGGGTCCGCCCCGCACAGGATGGCGGCGGATGAACCCGGGCCCGGCCCGCACCGCCCTTACCCCGCTGCTGCCGCCGCGACGGTCGCCCGGAAAGAGGAGCGGGAGGCCCTTCCGCTTCCGGAAGCGGCCGCCGGCGTCTCGCGAGAGCCTGCGCGCGCGGAGCTGGGGCCACCTGCGCCCTCTGGCGGCCGGCGGACACCGGTGCACCGGGGCGGGAGCCTGGTACCCACCCGGGCGTCATCCCCGGCACCCAGCCGGGCATCATCCCCCCGGGCATCGTTCCCCGGTACCCCCCTGGGCATCATCCCCGGTACCCAGCCGAGCATCATCCCCCCGGGCATCGCCCCCCGGTACCCATCCGGGCGTCATCCCCCCGAGCATCATTCCCCCGGGCATCGCCCCCCCGGTATATCTGCTCCCTCATCCCCTCCTTTCACCGCGCCCAAAGCCAGGGCTATTTACCAGCAGCTCCTTCTCTCCAAACCCGGCCCCTCCCCGAACGGGGATGAACCCGGAGAAACCCCCAGCCCAGGCCAGAACCCTCCTCTCTCAGCCAAAAGGGAGATCAGTTCTTCTGGGGCTTCTGCCAAGTTCAAAGTCCACCCAGACCCTGCTCCTGTGGTTACTGTTGATACTCTAAGGCAGATTTTATGTAGTTTATAAATAGTCTTTTATAAATTTATTCTAGAAAAATAGTCTAGAAAAATTTATTTTTTTTATAAATTTCTAAATTTCTTCTTTTAGATAAGAAATGTAGCTATTTTAGCAACCATCCCAAATGGTTTCAAGGACTTAGTAAGATAAGAAAGGATGTCTGTGGCCCTGAGAACATGGTGACCTAAGACAGGGATGCAATAAATATGGACATTGTCTGACAGATAGGTGGTAGCAGAGACATCATTAGTTTTAATGAGCAATTAAGCAGTTAGAATGTTTTGCCAACATGAAAAGTGAGCTAAAGGTGAAGAAGATGAAGGCTGAGGAAGAAATGACCCTCACTCAAAATGAGGACCACCAGAAGGCACAAAAATGTGTGCCCAAAGGCTTATTATAATATGTAAATGAATTCTTGGAAATGTAATGAATAGAATCATAGAATCGTCTAGGTTGGAAGGGACCTTAAAGATCATCTAGTCCAACCACCAACCTAATAATATATGATTCTAGACACTTGATTGCGTTTTGGGTTTATAAAGATAGGCTGGAAAAGTTTCCCCACAAATGCCTTCCCCTGTGCCTTTGTTCATCTTTTATGCAGAGCAAGGAACCTTCAGCACCGTCCTGTCACTCCTGGAAACCCCAGTTCCAATCTGTACTCGAGTTAACTGGAAGGAGGCAGGATCTCTGCCTTCGTGGAGGTGTTGTGCAGCAGACACCAACGTTGGTGAGCAACACCAGAACTTCAAAGGAATCAGTTTCTTCATACGGCGCAGATATATAGTGCCCAAATCCACTGTGTTGTAACCTTCTACTGTTTAATCTTTAATAATTGCCTCAGACACTAATTTCTAAATACTTGGTGAAGCAAGGCTAAAAGGAAATTAAAGGGGGGGGGGGTGGGGAAACAAAAAATGGGTTATTTTCTATACCCAGTGGCACAGTGACTAAAGCACAACCCAGCAAGTTCCTGCAGAGCCCACTCACCTCTCATTAGAAGAGGGAGGTCAGGACACTTGGTTCTGCTCGAAACCCAGCACTGAACGTCCAGACATGACTCAGTGCCGATTACAAAAGAGTCTCGTGTTAACTTTCTACACAGTGACCTGGCTTACAGTGATTTCATTGTGTGATAACGCTCAGTTCACTGAAATAATAATTAAATACAAAAGAAAAAAAGCCCTTTTAGATTGATTTTGCAATAGTAGTGCAACAAGAAGCCAATCAAACCACCAAAGTTTTATTTTCAATCATAGAACTAAAAAGGCTAATATTTTATTAACATGAGGTTGCAAATTAAGAGAGAAATGGGAGAAATCCTGAATAATCTCCACTGTAAAAATGCAAAAGCTTTGTGCTTTAACCATCGCTGTAACACCCTGCAGGACGCCGTCCTCCCTGCCCGGCACCTCTCTCCCTTCTTCCAAGGACTATTGAGAAATACCCCATTGACATATTTCATCTGCAACTTCAAATGACTGTCCTAAAGCAGAAACTCATCACAGTCATTTTCAGCCCGGGCAGTTTGTGCATCACACCAAGAGGATATGCAGGTATAAGAAATACTCAGAATTCTGTTTTTAACTACAGACAGTGCCATCTACGCTGCAGATTCCGCCTTTTACAGAGCAGTAGCTGAACACGTTTGATAAATCAGATCAAACATTCACAAATGTGTGTCTTCCAATTTTTTCTTACCACATTTCCATTTTTTTTTCTCTAAAAGATGATCTTCAGCAGTTCATATACTGCTTAGAATGTGCCTAAGCTTTCCCCACAGCTAAAAGATCTAATTCCATCAGTGCAAGGCATCCTATGCCACAAGTTCTCACCGTTATGATGGAGTGTAGCTTTAAAGGGACTTACTTAAATTGGAATATATAAAAGTTCTACAAATTTTCCTTCCTACAGGGATGTCTTTCTTGGAAAACCACAAATACTTCTGTCCAAACACTGACTTGAAAGAGTGAAGTCAGGAACATGGATGAACACTTATGATTGATGATTTTCCACCCTCTATGGCTTGAAATCGTTTTTGTTTGCATTGATGTTTAAAAGCCTAACTAAGCTCACTTTGCCTCTAGAAAGTGTTTGAAAACAGAAGTGAAATCTAACGAGACATGTACACACGGGGCAGGACTGCTAGAGCAGTAACCACCTCGCTTTCACATTTGGAGAGAAGAGCAGATTCTTCTGTAAACACACAACGATGCAGCATCATCGCAGGACCACATCTGGAGCCACATCTGGAGGCCAAGCTCGCCACAAGGCAGAGCAGAGCCGGCAGGTAGCCGTGGCTTGGTGGTACCCAAAGGCTCAGACCTGGTTTAGAGAACTAAGGTGCTGCCTGTTGCTTCAGCAGAGTTTTGCCAGAACTCAAGTACAATTTGGTTTCCACATCTAGCAAAAAAAAAAAGTGATTTATTAGGTTATTGCAGTGAGCATTTTGGCAGAGAAAGCAGGCACAGTGAAGTACACATCTGTTACTTCCAAAAAAAGCCAAACAATTTCACCGGGCTGGTTTAGAGAACTGGCCTGGACTGCACAGAGGCAGCGTTTAATTCAGAGGATGGGGAGAAGGGCAGAAATAACACCCCAGGGGGACACAAGGAATCTGCAACCAGTTTTGCTCATTTGTGTCGAAGAAATTGTACCAGGGAAGAAATTTCAGAAAACTAACAGTACAATCCACCATGCTACAAAGATCTTCTCTCGCACAGCTCAGGAGAAGGACGCACTGCTACGATATTAAAAACTGCATCCTTGTAATCCACTGCGTTCGCAAGCTGTGAGCAAAGACTCGACAAATTCAAGAGGAAAAACGAGGACGTTTTTGCTGTAAGCTTCAGCTGGTCACAGTGGATTAGAGAAAATCCTTCAGCCAGCAAGAGAAGCAATTGCAATGGAAAATCCCAGCTCCCACCGAGCAGCCGCCGCCATCCAGCGGGTACCGCTCCCGGGGGCACGACGCACGCGCCAAAATGAAGACAAGCAGCTCATTTTCAAGTTGATTTTTGTAAATGGAAAAAAAAAAAAAGTATAAAATCTATCCATACATTAACAGATACAGGAAGTTACACAATCCAGTTTACACCTAAAGTAATAGCGATCAGTCCATAATAAGAACAGGGAAAAAATTTCCAATGCTGTAATTTGTCCGAAGTCACTACAGGGCAGAGGAGGGCAGGGGGAGGGCGAGTGGCTGCTTCTTTATGGTGTGTGGGTAAAACTGGCTACCTTCCCTATTTCCAAAGCAATGAGACAATTTCAACAGACACGTATTAGGAATACTTTTGAAATGCACCTGACTCTAGCATTAACACTGAATATTCAAGGATTCATATTATTACAGCATAAAGTTTGGATACTTTTGCCTCCAGGAAAGGGCAGTAGATACTATCCAAGAGAAATCCTGCACCCGTCTTAAAATTTACAGCATTGATTGAGTTAAAGATTTTTATTTTATGATTTTTATCCATCCTGAAACACTTAGAATTTGTGTATCCTCAGCTTAGACATTTACAAAGCATGCAGAGACTGTTACTACTCAGGGAACATTTAGGAGGCTATGGAAAATGTGCTGGTGGGTATTGGTCTAATTTTAGTGAACTCATGTTACCATTACATGCAAGCCACCCCTGGCAGTAGTTTTCCCCTCACGCCTCCGTTTACCGGAGGCTGCAGAAGACAAGGCTTGAATGAATGGGAAGCTCAGGGTACCATTTTAAGGAATAAAACAAAAAACCTACTAGCAGGGGCCAGCTTGTGGGAATGCCCGCCCCGCTACTGGTGTACCTGGGGGTGACAGTGTCAGTCTGGGGCTCAGATGAAGATGCCTGACTGAATTTTAAAGGAAAAGGGAGGCACCTTAAACCCTGAAAAGACAGACTTCCTGTGTTTGACAGGTGTATTCAATATACACACACAAAGCAAGAGAGTAAGCTGTGCTCATCATCCACCCAGAAGACTGCACCTTTTTTTCTGAACACATAGAATATACAGCCCCTTTTCAAAATAACAATAACAACAATAATAATAAAGCAGAAGTGCAGAATCCAGACTGTCGGGTGGTCTGTGTTTAAAAAACGTAAGAAAGAATAAAAGCTAATGCTGTAAAGACAACTATTCCCTTTCAAAGCAAAGGCCACATAAAACTGTGTTGCTCAGTTTGGTTTTTACTTCATGCCACCTGTAAACACAAGACTGGATATTCAGTTTCTGGGAAGAAATGAAACCACTTTTACATCCAGAGTAAAAAGAAAGGCCCTCCGCTGCCTGGATCACAGATTACCCAGGAAAAGGTAGCTGGGGGAAGGCTTCCTCTTCTTGTTTGCTCATTTCATTAGAAAGGTCATATCTGAACAAAAGAGCTTTCAATAAAAGCACAAAACACCTCTTGATGTTATTTCTGCCCTCTGTCTCTAAGGTTTGCTACGGGGACTAACATTTTCCATTCCTCACCAACAGATACATCGCCTTTTTGGCACCACGGGTGGAATTTCTTCCTAATGTATAATTTTTCCTTATACAAAAGACGATTGTCTAATCATGCAAATCCAACAGAATTCCAAAAAGTGCCACAAGACAGCTCAACTCATTGCTATCTACTACCTAGTTTGTACACTGCCATAGGAACCTCCCAGAGAACAGACTATCATCCTTACTTAGATCTGACAGTGTATTTCATTTATGGCATTTCAACCTCTCTTTCTGGGGGGAGAGAATTGAAATCCACGCCCTGATTCCATTGATTTTTCACTCTCAGAGCTCTGAAATGCATGGAGATTTCTTTGATTTTTTGAAGACGTCTTCACCGAACAGCCTGATTAGAGAAAAACGTACTGATTCAATCAAATAGAAAATAAAGACAAAAACAGGTAGTGGTAGATTTCTCAATCTTTGCTCCTGTCCTTGGAGACTCAGGTAGAGTTTCACCGCTACTGCATTTTCCCCAGCTGGATCTTCTTCCAGGCTTCTGATGCTGTGAAAATGCAGGAGTCGAGGATCCCAGCTACGGTAAATGTTCCTCCGATGATGGCACATATCTGAAAGGCACAGAGAGAAAACAGGTTTGTCAGTGACGAGGGAAACTTCTATGCAGCTTGAAACTGGGGGGAAGGATATTATTGCCTGCTGCCAGTGTATTTTCTGGAAGCACAGTAAGCACTGGGTAACAGTACTGGGGATGTAATTGCATGACAATCATTCAGGAAAACCATTCCCTACAGTGGAATAACTTAGTGCTACCCTGAACTCATCATAGCCTAAGCCAATCGGAAATCCCAGCTCCTAGGAGCTTACAGCATGAATGCTGTTCATTTCTGGGCTAAACTCCACCTAACAAAGTTTTCTAGAAGTTCTGTTGCTCATACCTTCCTACTACTGTTTTCCATTATAAATACCACAGCCTTGTAGTCTTTTCCTTATTTCACAAGATACAGCATTTGCAAACAGGCAAAAGACACTTAAATAGCATGTGAAGGACAGTGACTAACAGAGAAACCCAGCTCCCAGTGACACCTACAGCTAAGGCTGTCTAACACTTTCCATTACAAGGGCTGCTTGCAAAAGCACTGCCAACTTAACTCTTTGTGGGACAAAGTTTTCCATGCAAGATGTCTCAGGTTGAATTATTTAAACACCCGTAAAAACCACGTAATCATTTTCAAGAACAAAATCAGGGAAAAAATTTATCTCCTGATTAGCATAACAGCCTACTTCCGTTCTCAGGTGCTAGAAAAACCTAAAAGTATTCTGACATGTCAAACAGAAGGTACCTTGGCCTGGAGCACCTGAAATCAGGGGGCACCAGATACAGACTTTGCAACACACTGCTTCAATCCCCTTATCTATGAAATGGGGACAATGCCAAACCTGCCTCCCAGGGAAACCACGACGGAAAACACATTTGAAGGGTTCAATACCACGACACGAGTCCTTGTGGAAACGTAAGACTTGTATCCAGGACTGGGTTAATACAAACCACCTGCTGGTAACAAGGCAGCAGTGAAATGCCGTAGGATGGGAAGAAAAGGCTGCTCACTGGGTGCCTCCTCACCCCGCACACTGCACAAGGCAGGGTTCACATGGAAAGTATGATACACAATAATGTAACCTAATAACGTTTAACAGCCAAGTTATAATTACACAGGACCTGGCATTTCCTAACTCCCACATTTTTTACTTCCTAATTGCGATGCTCTTTTCATTTGATCTTTTATGTCGCGTAGGATTAGGTGGCTCTGAGAAGAGACAGCGGGTCAGGGAGAAGGGGACTAGATACAGAGTTTATCTCCTGAGAATGGCCTGCCTAGGAAAAGGGGGATTTAGGAGCCAAGAGAGAGAGAGGAACCCAAAATCAGGAAGCCAATGTAGCAGGGTGTTAGAGAAATGCAACACAACTGACGCCGAAGGGAACCGGTGCCACACTAGACCTACAGTGCCACGTCTAACCGGTGCCACACTAGACCTACAGTGCCACACAGCACTTCTCCCACACAGCACTACAGCCCATGGGCAGGGGATACAGACTAAAGAGTAAGGTAAGAGCAGCAGCGGCCGCTCAATAGGGAGCTTGCAGTGGCATCAGAACAAACAGGTCATTAATGGTGAGCGAAGGCAGCAAGAAATAAAGCACTCATTTACATGTGTATTTATAACCGGGATACATGCGATTAGTGAGCTCGGTGAAATGAGGAGCTGCAGTAAACACAGTTTTTGCAGGACAGCTGGCGTTCCAGCAGATAAAGGCTTCAAAAACCAGAGCACCAGCCTGTGGCAAAGTTAGTAGTTTTAGGGGAGAGTCCAGCTCCTGCCCCCTGTGCCCCCCTCCTTGCTATCCCTCGGAGCGTGACGCAGGGTGACTTTTCAGGGAAAATGACCGCAATGGAGTTGGGTTATTTCAGTCCACAGCAGCTCAGCTGACAGGAGATGTTACACCGCAAACACCAGAAAACCCGTCCAACACTAAGATTTTGCATCATATGGTAGGAAAATCTGATTTCAGTGCAGCACTGCAAGGGGGAGGGGAACAGAAAAAAAAATATATAAAAATATTCATCTGCACAGCTCTGTACTGCTGAGTGTTGATGAGTCACACACACCTGGCATTCGCTTGGAGCCTGCCTCCCAGCACGCACACAGCCCTCTTGTTTCACTCTCACACAAAAAAAAGGCAGCACCAGGGTTGGTCTGTAAGTCAGCACAGAAGCTGCACCACCGCGTTTCTCTGTCATCGCAGTCCTAATACGTATGGAGTGTTGTTCCTCAGCAGCACTGGAGGAAGTCAGGCATCATGCGCTTATTTATATTTAATGGAGTTTTATACTGGGAACAATCTGCGTTTGGCTCCGTGAGGTTAGTTTGACTCAGGCCCAATCATTAAAGGAGGAAGGAAAAGAAATATAGAAGTGTAATAATTACAGCAGTGAGAGACCTTGCAATGTGGGGCACATGCCAGGGTTTTGAACAGAGTATGATTATAGGACAGTGGCTGGGATGCAGGCTGAAGTCTAAAGGAAAACACGAGTGGATGTAAGAGGAGGCAAGGCTGCAAGCAGTGTGACAGAAAGGCAAGTGTCAAGATATGTGACTGTGGACCTTAAAATCTGAAAATTACTTTTGAGGACAGAGGGGACCAGTAGGACTCCCAGGTAATTCCTAGTAAGGTAAGCTGCAGAATCCTACCCAGAGATTTCTGGCTGACCTGCAGCACATCTTGCAGAACAACACTGTCTTGGTTTTAAAAATGCCATGGGATTGAGTCTATGATATGGGTCGGTAACAGGTCCCATAGCTGAAATAATTCTTCCTGTGACTGTTTTCCCCCCATTATTTCCAGTTTAATGTTTTTCACACCTAGAGGGCAGACAAGTCCTATAATATCAGGAAAAAAATTCCATTCTTTTATTTGATTTTGAATGCTTCACCAGAACTTTGGCTTGTTTTCTGCTTGCTCTCCCCTCCCAGCCTCTACTGACCTCATGATAAAACCTTCTCTCAGTTTGGCCACTCACAGGAACTCAGAAATTTTCAGCAGTGAAACCTTTCCCCTTGTTCCATAACCTCAACCACGAGGCCGTGAATGGCTTCTCTTTATGGGGAGATGCCTTGATTTTAAGCCCTACAGTTTAACAGGCTAAAACTACTGTGTTTAATGCTATGCCAAGTGTCTGTGGTTAACCCCAGGATCCATGGCAAATTCCCAGCACAGTGACAGTGGCAGCACTGACCTACAGGCAATGTAAAATCTTATTTAGTACTGAATTTTTTGAAGCGTGACATGTAAAGCAAAATCTATACTAAACCAATGCCTTTCATCCCACACAGGAAGCCTATCTCACATGGTACAGAAAATTAGGATAATTCTTCATATCACAAAAACCCAAGGAGCAGGCATGAATTAGAGTGGGTCCATTGGGAACACAGAAGAGCTGGGAACCCTGCTATGGTGCTGCTCTTAGCTGCACGGAGGTTTCTGGTGGACAAACATTACTAACAAAGAACATCAGCTAACCTCCCCAGCAGCAGAATGAGATTCTTTTGGCTCTCTGCTGAACAGCCAGCACCCCCTCTCTCATCTGATCTCTCCACATGGGATCGTCCCTCCATTGTGATTCCTTTCCTCCAACATCTATACCGTTTCCCCCCTAAAGTCTGTTTCAAGCCCACAGGATCCTCCCCCATCCCCTGGACACATTTAAATTTACTGAAAACCACACGGGTGCCCGAGTAAACAATCTGCTCACTCAACAGAGTTGCAGGTGATTCCCCCCCTGCCCCACAGCCCCTCTTGTGGTTTTTAAGTTAAGCAGCTGCTGCTCAGAAAAAGCTGATGCTTTCCATGGCCAGTCCCATTCGGCAATGACTCCAGATGCCCCAGCTCAATCCCTGTCTGGACCTCAGCCCAGTGCTGATCATCACCAACTGGTCTCCAGAGCAACCGTGATGCAAAAGGCCACGCTGGAGATACAGGAAGGGGCTAAAGCAGTGGAAAGGACAACGGAACAGATCATGTCATCAAAACAGGGCAAGGAAACCTAGGACAAAAGGTGTTTTGATCCTCTGCAGCACTGCTCCCCCGCTCCAACCTCTTCAATGACACTTTGAACGCTCTAAAGCTTTAAGTGTAGCCAAGGCTGCCCTACTGTAAAACATTCCTAGCCTAAATGAGAGCAAGAGCAGGTCATCTGTACCAGGGCCAGATGGTCCAGACTGACAGCCACGATACAGCATCTGTAAAATAAGGATCTGCCTCTAAGTCAGCCATGTCTGCCAAAGGTCTGGCACACCTCTGCGATGAACTGCATAACAGCTACTCCAGAAATCAGCCTCATCCACATGGCTCCATAAGAAGGACATTCAATTGGAATGGCCCCTAGTGAGCTGCTTGAGACTATAGCCATTTATAAGACCAAACAAAGTAGACAAAAAATCGAATTGTAAAACCCTTCTTCAGCAGTCAAGCAGCCAGCACACGCCTGGCTCAGTTTACAGACAGGATGGGGCAAAATTCTAGCTGGGGCCATCTCAAATCCAAAAGGTTATTGCGGCAACCAGTGAGGAAAGCCTCTCCTGTGGACTCCTTGTGTAAACTCTGAAGTACGGTATCAAATTCAACAAAGATCCTATTTATATGCACACAATGGCATATCAGCAGTAAATCAATGCTGGCAACGGACATGACAAAGCATAATGCCAGCCACCAATCATTTCCAAACGCTATTTCCTGTTAAAAACACCTCCACACCATCACCCCCAACGAGATGCGTAAAAAACCTATGAAAGCTTATTGATTGGGAAAATAGAGGCAGTGTGAGATGCCAAGTCATAAAATGCTGATGTTTGACCTTTTTTAGGATTATGTTTTGAAACCAAACAGACTTGCTAAGAAGAGAAGGTCTTGAACCACAAGATTTAGATTTTGCTTCAAGTCCCTTTCTCTTGGTATTTGTGTATCCTAGAAATCACACGCATTTCAAAAATTAAGTGAGGGAACTTGGTGTTTATCAGAAGCTGTAAAATCAAAATCTTTAAGTGCAACAGAGCCACACTGTTTATGTTACTTCCAATTAAAATATTCAAACAGTTTAAAAATCAAAATCCAAGGTCTTCATTCCAGCCAATTTATCAACTATTTCACATTCTACGAAGACTCACTGGCACAGGAGACAGCAGCTTAAATTTTAAGCCAACTCCCTCAGGACACATTTTCTTAAGTTCTGGAAGATCTTTAAATAGGTTTTTGCCTAACTAGCAGCTTGGACAGTACAGCTTTGTTATAGATGCTGAGATCAGTACTGCAGGATGTTATCTGCATAGATCAAAATATAATTTGTCAGGAAAACATCTCTGGAATTTGATAATGCAGCTCTTCTCCACTTCTACCCAGGAGTAAATGTCTGGAACTGGCAAACCCATATTAAGCCAAACAGCAGCACTGAGTAAAACAACTGCCCTGCATTCTCTGCAACTTAAATCTCATCATCAGAGAGACGGTTTATTGCAGCATACTCTACTGCATACCATATTAGCTTTACTTCCAAGTTTCTGACATGCTGCAATAGTGCCCATCCTGCCTAGACAGAGTTTGGCACTTCTGGAAGAGGATGATTTTCTTTCTTCTTGTGCCTAGCTATTAAATCAAATTGTCAGAACGTAGGGCTTACCAGTTACCTCACTTACACTTCAGTACAACTGAGGTGATGCACTGCTTTATTTCAATCATGTCACAATGCTCTGAAGCAGAAACTCAATTCTTCTGGACAAGAACGGCTCAGAAGAGAAATGAAATGCAGGCAGCAGAAAAGAGAATTAGAGGTTTAAAGTAACTCACCGATGTGATAAACCTGTACAAAGGCTGTCGCCTCTCTGTGTATTTCACTGTGATGGGGCTCAGGTCGTAACGAAACCAGATAGCTGGGATAATGCGGCCAGTGTGACTGTAGGCTACATACTCCTAGAAAGAAAGTGGGAGAAAAATGGCAGAAAATGTGAGCAATCTCATTTCAGATTTCAGAGCAATAAAGTTGCTTCTGTGCATCTGGCCCTTACACCACTGTTCTGTACTAATGATCTGGCCAAAAGTAGCAAACGGTTAATTCCTGTTCTTTACACTCTGATAATGATATAGCTGGCAACAGAGAGTGATGGCACTTACTCTCACCTTCATTCCAAGTTACAGAAGCAAACAGAAAGATCATCATTGAGTTCTCTAGCTTAGAGCTGTTCTGTTTAAATACAAGCAGTCACTAATTGGTTGCAGGTGAAGTTTTTGTACTGCCAGTACGTAAATCGTATACTGGAATACTCATCAAACAAACAGAATTTAGTTTGTAAGAACCTGAAAATCCTTTCTTGCCCATGCACTCAGAACAGCAAGCAGCAGCTCCCTTCTGTAAGGTCCCCTGGCACTGGAACCCAACACTCAGTATGCCCACTCACTATGAATCTCACAGAACCATGTTTAAACCACATTTAAAAACCATGCAGAAAGCCAAAATGAAACTGTAAACAGAAAAATATTGGCAAAGGTTCAAAAAAATATTCCATGCTGGTTTGGAAAAGACATCTTCAGATTGCCAGTGATAATCTTCTTGAACCCATTTCTTTAATAACAGGTACAGTGCAAGCAATCAACCACAGGACAACACCCCAACAAGACAAACTGCACAATGCCAACATAGAACAGATCCTAACATCAAGTAAGTATCAGAAGTCACATCTTTTTGAGCCAATATTTTTTCTGTGCTCTCAGTGGAAATATATATCAATTTTTAAGGATCAGGACATTTATTTTGACAGACTGAAGAAAAAAAAAACAAGAAAAGCAGGCTGAGGACTCAGCAATCCAATGAGAGCCCCAGCACCAGCACCTCACTGCCTCTTTACCCAGCTGCTCTTCTCTGCTTTAGCCCTATGACATGTCCACCAACTCAGATGACCTCTTCTGTTTTAATTCTCCTTCACACAGAGCCAAAGGCAACCTCAAATACTTCAGAAAGATGATCAAAGAACAAGTAAGAGGACACCCATGAGCATGATACAAAAAAGACAATTTTACTCTCTGTTCTCTGTTACTCTCTGGTACTCTGTGAGCCCAAGGGGAGCTAATAAAACAGCATCTATCTCCTTCATTAATTTCACATAAATCCCAAATTTCCCTCTATTTAGTTTTTTTTCCCATGGATGACAAGAGAAGCAGAAAGCAGTTGACGTTCCTTGTCATAACCTTTTCGGGGCTCTTATTGCAGAAGTTCTGCACATGTCTTGGGACAGGGTCTGTCTGGGGAAGCAAGAAAACAGAGGGCCTAGGAGGTAAAAGGGGAGAGGAGACAGACAGTCCAGACTTCAGACTCTATTCAGCTCTTCACACTAGTCAATCCGTGCCATGCTATTCCAATGACTTCCAATTTCTGTTTCCTACTGATCAGTATGGGAGTCAAGGACTAAAGCACCTGTAAGAGAATTTTTATTTTTAACAAGAAGAAAACGCAGAGGCAGCACTGTTTGTCTGCACTTCAGTTTTGATAGAACTGGCATCATTTTTTCCTTCCTCTCCCCTTTTCCCCACCAGTAATCCTGCCCTAATGAGTCAGTCTTGGCCGAACGCCCCAGTTTGCAACCATGCTCACAGAAGTGTCAAAAGCTCCTGCTGTCTATTTTCCAAATTACTTTCAGGACTTGCGTCGCAAGAGTCTTATCAGAACAACAGTTGTGACATTAAGCAGAACAAATACATTGTAATCTGGATAGAGGGAGACATCCAAATCATTGGGACACACTGTTCAAGCAAGCCCAAAAGTCACTAGACAAGAACGTTAATCTGAGAACTAATCCATGACACTGTGTTTTAGATTCTCAGTTACAGCAAACTGGCAGTAATTAGATATTATAAACAGATTCTGGACTTTCACTTAGCATCTGACTAGCAAATCATTTTAAATTGAAAGGGGCTTTTTACCTTAAAAATTAAACAGGGTGTTTTTTTTTAAAAAAGTTCTATACATTGTATTATTAAAACACAAATATCTTCACATTTAATGTAAATTAATTTAAGAATTATAAAGTTACAATAATTATCATAATCCACTACAATAAAGTAGGCACTGTGAACTAGTGAACCAGTACATATTTGCTGCTGCAGGTTCAGTGGCTTAATATCTGAAATCAACATTAGTAAAAAGCTAAAAACTCTGCTAACTTATTTGTCTGATACATGCATCACAGTTGAGACTGTTTTATTAATAAACCCCTGAGTACTGTTTTATTAATAAAACCATGAGTAAGTGCTGTTTTGTATGTTCAATCGGATTGCAGTTTCCATCCAGATGCATCTTGAGACACATCACGAGAGCTCCTGCAGCACATAAAAACCTTCCACGCAATTTATAGAAATGTACATGAGTTAAACTGACATATAGGAGAAAGAATACCTTCCTCTAGCGTTAAAACAATACCACCACCTGCTCTGACAAGCCCTCACAACCCCAACCCTGGTAAATGCTAGCACCAGGAGCAACTAGAAGGTCCACTCTGAAGAGCTTCAGTTCCTCCTTCTCCCAGCAGAGGCTACTGCTCACCTACAAACCAAAGTACTTGGCTGCAGAGCAGAGGAGCACAAGGGAAGAGGAACGATGCCTGAAGATCCTCCATGCATCTACTGGGCTGCAATGGGGAGCTTCTCTGAGAACTACTTGCTTCTTTACCTTATTTGCTACAGTGTATTGGTATGAGTATCGCTGCTTGCCGCTCATGTCTTCGTACACCGTCGGGACTATCTTCAATATGTAATCATGAGACGCAAGAGCTGCAGTCAGGAAAGGAAAGGAAAGTACAAGTTAGAATTCCGAGAAAGGAATCACAGCCTACATAACATTTCAAAGTAAATGTGTGAAATCAACTGAAACAACTCACGTCACAGAAAAGGTATCTCCCTCCTCTTTATCTCAGGTTCTGTGACAAAGTGACAATTTCACATCCTACATTTACGTCCTTTGTACAAAACTTTGTAAGGTGCTCGGGTGACGGTAGAACCTGCCCACCATTCTAAGACTTCTGTAGCACCACGACCCATGGAGCTGAGTTTGGGTCACTTGAACCTTCCTAACTGCTTGCAACTATAAGTGATAAGACTTATCGGCACCACACAAAGCTATCCTGGATAAACCAAGAACAAGCTTAACATTAGAGCTGCAGCTCACTGAGCTGCTTTTTGAGGTATCACAACCTGTGTAGTCCCATTCTTTGTGCACCCATCTTTCTTTCTTTCTTTTTCGTTCTCTCTTTCTTTCTTTCTTTCTCCTACAACTGCTTAACAACTATTAATTCTTTTTTTTCCCCATTATTTAAATGGCTTAGGCCATTTGTTGTGTCTTCTGAAACAGTTCTAAACCAGAAATCTAAATGATTTCTCTGCAGGATCCTTTGGCCAAGTGTAACACAATGACATTTGGCTCCTGGAGAGAAAAAAAACACACAACCACAATTGTCTCGCTTCAGGAACAGCTATAGAAATTTTGTTCCAAGAAGTGGGCAAGACTGATGTCCTGGGGGAGCCTGAACACTTGAAGGGGAAAAACTAAGCTGAATTGTAGTGCGCACTGGAAATTTCTTTTTGTGTTGCTGGTCATAAAGAAAGGCAATGAAAACGTCTATCCTTCCAGCCACAGGGTAGAACTTCAGGTAAGAGCTGACTTGCAACATAAGAACAAGGAAAAGTTCTGGTGGTGCTGACAGCAGCCAAGGGAAACTATAGGTATAGGTTATGGATAAAAAACTCAAACTCTGAGTTGGTCATAACAGAGCTGGAGACAATGTCCAGGTTGCAGAAGGGCTGCAAAAGACCTTTTGGGCTAAGACTGCTTTATGGTACTGTAGAAAACGGAAATGTCAGTCAGCAATGTCTGGATCATTTTGGTTAAAGAGGCAGATTAAAGACTTCTGGATACACCAGTGTTGGATTAATGGCCCTGTTTTCCCTTTTGCTAAGTGGTTAAGACCTGTAATCACCAAGAATACATACGATTTGAGCTGAGTTTGTCTGCTCCCTCCAAGGCATTGAATGCTCCATGAACGTTATGGACCTGGAAAGCAAAAAGACATATGAAGAAATTATGCTCTGACTTGGTACTCTTGCCCTTTGCTTCCCTACCCTGTCCTGTAACAAGGAGATCAGCCTGATTCAACCTTTCCAGAAACAGAGCTGCCACCCAGTAAAAGATGACTTGAAATATCTTTCAGTGACCATCACCACAGAGGTCAGTTCCAAGTAAAAAAGTTGATTTCACAACGTCTTACAAGATGAAACTCCAAAACCACTCCAAAGCTAAAGGAATTGCAGTTGGAAGAGGCCAGTTGTGAAATTTCATTTTGAGGTATTTCCTAAGAGCTTTGCATAGTTAACTGTGAAATCCATTTATCAGGCTGAAAGGGAAACAAATGGGAGTCATATTCAGCTCAGTAGCTCTCTTGTGAAGGTAGAGTTGGGCTTGTACAGCTTTAAGTCATTAGCCCAGCTTTCACACTGCACTCACTGTGACCTTGGAGATGGAGAGGACACATGCCAACACTGCCAACCATTCAGCTTTTCCTGCAGCTGGTCCCAGGCATGCAAGTATCTGTTTGCCCAGAATAACAGGATTTCCATCCCATGCCTTCCATATACTATGACCTGGAGTCTGACGTCCACCAACAGACTAATCGATTTGTGAACTCTCTAGACAGGGAAAACCCCACCGTAACAGCTGTTGTATCATTCACATAATGTACAGTAAGCTATACAGAAAGGACAAATAACTCCACAACCTAGAAATTCCTGACCTTAACCCAGACAACAGGGAAGAAGAGTTTGGAAGAAGTATTTGGTCATAGGTGTGACAGAGTTTCACCTCACTAACAGGGCAATGCAATCTCCTTCCCGGACCCTCTCAACAACTGAAAGCATGTGGATGGATTTGCCCCATCCCAATGGCTGTTTCCCTGTTCTGAACGCTACAGAGAGGATGACGGTTTGAGGAAGCAGCAACTGAACCCGTTTCTCTCCTGAAAAAGGAAATTCTAGAGAGAGAAAATAATCACAAAGTTCAACTCAATTGGCCAGGTGCTGGTAAGAAGCACAGAGCAAAAGCAACAGCTGAACTTTCTACAGTGCATTTACACAACAGCAACCGTTTCTGAACTACACATGCAGACTGTACATATTCGTTATAATTTTTTTTTGGTAAAAAGCATACAAAGTCTGCATACAAAGTTACAGTCTTGATACGGCTGAGAAGTAAGTCTCATAGCGTACCTGGGCCAGAGACTTTAAGGTTCATTTCAAACACTCTAATAGTAAATATCTGTGTCGTTACTCAGCAAACAACTGTATCTGTCCTGTGAGGTACCTGTATATTTGAACTTACGTTCTTGTCCTTGGCTTCCCAGCATCCACACTTCTGTTTCTATGTAAAACTTGTCTGCTCTGCATCTGTCTATATGTGAAGTTTGCAAAGCTGTGAGTTACAGAGCTCTCACACAGACAAAGCCACCAAGCGCCTCCACAGCTCCCTGGTTTTGTGCAGTCAGGTCCTTTGGTGCATCTGCCTCTCTTGTCTTTGCAATACAGATGGCATTTGTAACTCCCAGTCTGATGTTTTACCATGATACTCCTTGTGGAATATTCTGGACTCCCATTACAATACTTGCTGTCCATAGATGGCTAATTAATCTCTGCTCTACAAAGTGCACAGGTGTGTTCCTTGGGGGAACATACTTGTTTGTACTTTGTTAAGTACCTGGAGGGACTTCAACAAGGAGTAAGCTTTTGGCCACAGTAACAAAATTGCTTTGCAACAGAGAACTTAAGGAAGCCTGTTTAGCCACATGCTCTCAGGACTGTCCTGCGCTACCAAGGCCAAATCTAGTGCATAGAGTAGTGGCACAGGATGCTAGTCAGTGTTTTAACACTTTATTCTCCTGCAACTTGGACCTCAAAAAGATGAAGACCAGTGCCCTGAACAGCTTAGGCTTTAATCTCTACAAACACATGCAAAGACATACTGTTGGTCCCGTTGGAGCAAGTTCAGAGGAGGGCACAAATTTGATCAGAGGGCTGGAGCACCTCTGCTATGAGGATAGGCTGAGAGAGTTGGGGTTGTTCAGCCTGGAGAAGAGAAGGCTCCAGGGAGGCCTTAGAGCCCCTTCCAGTACCTAAAGGGGACCTACAGGAAAGACGGGGAGGGACTCTTTATCGGGGAGTGTAACGACAGGACGAGGGGTAATGGCTTTAAACTGAAAGAGGGGAGATTAGATATCGGGAAGGAATTCTTTACTGTGAGGGTGGTGAGACACTGGAACAGGTTGCCCAGGGAAGTTGTGGATGCCCCATCCCTGGGCAAGGCCAGGCTGGATGGAGCTTTGAGCAACCTGGTCTAGGGGCAGGTGTCCCCGCCCATGGCAGGGGGGTTGGAACTTGATGATCTTTAAGGTCCCTTCCAACTCAAACCATTCTATGATCCTATGATATACAGCTGGACATATAACTCAGGCAGAGTCCAACAGCAGGCTAAAATAGCTTGCAACTATGAAGGGAAGACAAGACTTCTTGCAAGATTAAAACCAGGATTATTCAACATCATGATCTAGCACTCAAGAGAATTCTACAATTAAAAATGTATACTCTCCTACTTTCTACATCTCTTTCTTTACTGGGTTACCTGACATACAAGAACCCCATTGGTTTGAATTTTGGTCTCATCTACACGAGGGAAAGATCTACAAAAAGTCTGAGGCTATTGTGCATGGACTACCATTGAAGAACCGTAAAGAATGAAGCTCATTCTTTGCCAGTCGGGATATAAATCTCTGTTTCAAACAGACTGTTTTTTCTGGAGAACACAGCTTGTACCTTAGTGGATCATTCTGGCAGAGCTGGTTAACAACCGACAAAGAACTAACTCCCAGCATATGACACAAGCGAATGAGAAGCTCCTCACCCTCTTTAAGAAATATGAGCATATTTTACATCAAAGCCGGTGGCAACAACCCAAAATATTCAAAGTTGTTTCTAGATAGATTTAAAGCTCTCCATACTTGCTGGCTCTCTCTGCTGCTGCTGAGTCTTGGTAGCACCTGTTTAGTGAACATATCCTTCTTTAATTTGTGCTGTTGAACTCATGTTTGCCTACAGGACCAGCAGCACCTACATGCTCCATTCCTGTGTGTGGAGATGATGAGTAGTTATTTTGAACTTTGAAAATACTAATCAGAACTTGTCCAAATCAGGAGCCAACTACATGTTTGCTAGACAGGTTTCTCACCACCAGAACTGAAGACGCTTGCTCCTTTGCCCCCATCTGTCCAGGCTTCTCATCTCATTCATGCTGATTCGCACTTCAGCTCCATTACTCAAAGACTCCATGATAAAACAATGGGAACGCTACCTTAGAGCACTGATTTCCCACGCAAACTGCAGAACTCCCTATTAGCACTTACCTAATATTTTTCATAATCTCAGTGTGCTTTACAGACATTAAGCCAAGCTTATTTATATGCTAATATTTCAGCGTTCCCACACAAGATATTTCCTAAAAGAAGCCGGGAGCAGAATCAGAAGACTACAAAGCAACGCTTAGACTTGTTAGCATGAAAAAGGGTTTTGGAAGTGGGTGTACAAGAAGCAGACTAATGAGACGTCTGTGCTGAGGAAAGAAGATTACAGAGAGACTATGGGTAAGCAATGTTTAGGGTGAGTCGCAAACTGGGTGTGCACATATATAACTCCCACCTGTGATGCTACCTCCTTGGAAGTAGGCTAGAGAAGAGCTGTAATCTGTCCTTATTGAGAAATCAGGAATTATTACATAACTTGCAACACCTGCTGAAACTCTATCGACTGGGCAAGTGCACACATTCAGCTTCTTCCCAGCAGGGAATTGGCAGTTCGAAGTCTAACTTGTGTTTCATATAACAAATTTGACTAATAGGTGTCTGCTAAACAAGTACAGTGGAATGAATTAAAAAGAACTTGACTGGTAAAGACAGTAGCGAGCACACATCTTCCCTTAGTATACTCACTGCTCCTCTACAAAGGCAGTCAAGATTTGTTTGCTGTATTAATACTGAAAACAGTTCTGTACAGTAGAGCAGGATTTTGCAAAGCCATGAATCCTCATTTCTACTCCCTGCAGGAGGATAGCCACATAAGTTTTCCAAAAGGACTTTCAGTTTCAGATGAAAACAGCAAAGTTACTCTATGACTGAACACTGCTCCTTCCTGAAGTGGTGGCACGTAAACAGTTTGCGAACTCCCCCAGACTGAGTGTACATGGCATGAATGCAAGGGAAGGACTTGCTTACCCCAGCAGTCCTTTCTTATGTCCTCCCTACACTGTACATGGCCCTTCCATAAAACCGAAGTGTCAAATATTAAAGTCACATCACATTAATTCCCCTAGAGCAAGGGAATTCTCAGGGAAGAGAACTCACCTGTAACTTGTCCCCAAATGAGAGCTTGTGAATGACGTGAGTCATGTCAGGATTCTGAGGCTGCGCAGTGGCACTGTGCGTTGACACGTGAAAGTTACCAGGGACCTAAAATTAGTCAAGACAAGGAAGACAGGATTTCACATTTTATCCCTCAAGGCATTGCTAGGCTCTGCGATATGAAGCGGAAATGCCTGGATCCATCCAGCCTGGTAGGCTGTATCTACTTAGCAGTGGACAACCTCTGGCACATCAGAGAAAGGCTCTGAAATACCTTCCTGCACTCGACCAACACCACCGTGCTGCTCACAGTGGAGATCAGTTACATCCCACAGCTTAAGAGTCTGACACCCTCACATTGCTGCTGCTGCTGACTAGGAGGTGATGAGTGGATCACTCCCAACTTTAGGGATTCCTAACACTTAAGGCTATGTCTTTCATCCCTATTTAAATAAGATTCATGTCTCTGACAGGCATCAAACAGTTGCTTAATGTTTTACTCCCACATCTCGCATTTGTAAATGGGCCCACTGCTGCAGAATAACCCAAGAAAACTGTGGATATATTCTTATTGCAGTATTGGTCACGAGCAACCTTACATTTGAGAAGATTGTGAGTAAGAATAAGTTTTATATAAAATGAGAAAAAACCCATGAAAACCAATGGGGCTTCCCACACAAACTAAGCTAGATCTTCAGCTTCTAGCCCTGGCAATAGCCCTTCCAAGTACAGGATTTTCTGGTTTTAATTTTTTAAACGGAGGGAAATAAAAATTTCTGAAAAATACAGATTTCACCTAAGGACTTAGTTCCAAGACAGAAAATGAGCACTAGTGTCATTCTGACAGGATCACTCTAGCATGCATACACTTTTCAGGTCACTAACCCTACTCCACCAAGTCTTTCAGCAGATTCAGCTCAATCACTGCTACAGAGGGTGCAAGATTTTTTTCCTATTGAGAAAAGGTTGGGAAATTAAGCAACCCTGAGAAGCAATCCGACCTGGCCTAAAACAAGAGTGGGAGGACGGTTATACAACTGGTGCCCATTGTGCTCTCTGCAGAGACATCTCACCACAGGCAGGGCCACAGGAGGCCACATGCCGGTTCCATGTGCTTTCAGGAAAGCTAATTTAAATGACTTGAGGAACAGCAGTGCACTCCTGGGAACGCTTTCAGGTGTGGACACAAGCTGTGTCATACGCAAGCTCAGTAAACAGGGTGACAGACTCTGCAGTAAGTAGCACACACAATCATCTCACTGTTACCTTGTGCTCCCTCTTCAGCCCTGAGAATAACACCCAAGTGCAACCCTTGGTCAAGTTTCAAGCCTGTCCATGTCCCACTCCAGGCACCAGCTCATACAGAAGCATGTACAATTTCTGCCAAGGGACTGCAAACTTACAGCTCATACACGAGAGGTTCAGGTTTTCAGAGGTAGAAGTTCTGGGTCAGGTCTCCTCCCTCTGACAGCAGAGAGACATATGAGACAACGCAATTAGTGGCCTTTCACAGACGAAGCAGTGAAGGGAGCTCCTCACTGACACATACAGCAACCCCTTTTTGAGTTGCTCTGGTGAGCAGGGCCCACCACATCTACCAGACAAACCCCCATGTATTTCAGCTCTGTGCTTTGGGAATGAACAGAACAAGAACTACCTTTCAAGAAGCCCTTTCCCAGTTTTGTGGACTATCAGCTGCCAGTAATCTTGGTGGCTTAGAGGCGAGGAAAGAAGCGTCCTCTTTTAAAGTCCCTAATCCTTTCCATGCCACAGAATCAATAAGAGGTTCTGCCTGTTATTTTTAGATGCGATTTAACATGACCTGGGAGGAAAAGAAGGAAGTAGGATTTTGTAGCCTGTGGTACATGAGGAGGCGTGAATAAAGGGTGTGCCCTTCTTAGGACATCAGTGGGCCCCACCACTGCCTCCCCCACCCCTGCTAGTCATCTCCAGCATTACATAGCAAGATTATTCAATTCTGAACACACCCATCCCAGAGAGGAGCCTCCTCCAGGCCTGGATTTTCATTCTTTGAAGAAGCGGAGCATCCCGACAAAGCATGCGCGGAGGCCGCGTGCATGTGTTCCAAACATCTCAGCACGGAGCCGCTTCTGTTACGCTGGCACCCTCTAGTAGGGAACATTCCTGTCATTCTGCGGCTCTCGGAACAAAAGAGCACTCGGATGGAGACATTGCCAAAGACCTCTTGCACAGTGAGTCACATTTTGGAGGTGCAAAAGTCCTGACAAGTAAACATAGAAGCCATTTGGTATTTGTAGGGAGCTCATGCATCCCCTAAACATTAGGCTGCTGCACTGAAAGAGACAGCACTAACTGCACACAGAGCTGCTCTCTGCTGTTAAACAACAGTACCTTGATTACCTCCTTGGAGAATGGAGAAAAAGCCTGATCTAACACATCCTCTGTGGGTCTAAATATGCAGCCTCCTCTCCCCACATTTCTGCAGCACTGAGGGACTTAACCTTACCACTGATTAGGGACATGAATGTACACTCTACAGGAGAGACACTGACACACAGATTTTCATGAGCATTTTACAAATGGATCTTGCTAGCATTTCCCAAGCCAGCCCACACTCACCCACTGTCGTTCCTACTCACCTTGTTGATGCTGAAATGGCCCTCAAACCTGCAGCCATCTCCATTATTGAGAGGTATCTTCATTGAGTTGTCAATATGACCCACTTCGTGCCTTCCCATTTCATCTTGGATGTCTAGTCCAACTACTGCATGGGTGGAAGGGGAAGAGACAAAAATTAAAACAAAAGAAATAACAGAAAGCTTGCATAGGAAAGGCATGCATGGCTTTTACTGGGAAAAATCCACATCTCTTTTCCTGGCATTGAGTAAACTGTGCTAGTATCGTCATTTGTCAAATATTGTTATACCAGCTCTTCAGAAAGAGCTTCGTAACCAAACTTTTCAGGCTGCCTATTTGACACAAATATACCTTCCATACAATGCCAGCTGATTGTAGTCTCAATTACACAAACAGAAAAACTTCAGGTGGATAAGGCAGGTGATTTTTGAAAAGCCAACAACTAGCTGGTGCATTCAGATTTACGAATGAAACCTGGGAGGTTTCTTGCTCCCAGAGACAGAAAGGTCACTATGAAAAAAGGAAACAAGATTAAGAAAGAAGCCAGCGAGGGAGGTCACCCACTAACACAGGCTGCAGAGCCAGCACAGGGTCCAAGAAAACAGGTGTCCTGGCCTGGAACAGAAAGCAATGGGATATTGGCAAAGGCTGCGGCTACTTGATCTTCATCCACCCTGTCACAGGAGAAGGGCCACTGTACCAGTTTGGGCCCCTTTCAAGTATTACTTACAATACAAAGGAAAAACAGTAAGTTAAAAGGGGTACTCACATTCACAATGCAGGTTTGGCAAACTGATGTTCAGATTCACTTCTATTTTACCTCCACTGTCTTTGTCTGGGTCATCCACATAGAGCTCATTAACTCTGGAGGACAGAAAACACAGGTGGGTTCAGGCACATAGCTACTGTCCACAGGAAAACAACAACTTGTGTAGATGTGGCACTTCAGGGCACGCTCTAGTAGTGGAGGCTGTGGGGGTCTTTTGTGTGTGCATGGCTGGACTCTGTGATCTCAGAGGTCCTTTCCAACCACTAAGATTCTGTGATTCTGTAACTTGCATGGGAAGGAAAAAAAGGAGACTTTGAAGCAGGGGGTTTGGCTGTGTGACACCTACAACAGAGGTACGAAATGGAAAGCATGAAAACACTCCACGACTGGCAGGGGGGCAAATCACCATTTAATTTTACTTCTTGGTTGACAAGCGCAGGAGGCTTTCAACAAGTCCCTTACACCAGCAGAAAACAAAATCCCTGCTCTGATTTATCCTTCCTGTTCCCTTCCCTAACCCAAGTTTCCAGAGGCGACCCCAAACAACTGCCTGATGTCGAAGGGGTGGTAGGCCAACGTGCCAGCCTGCCGCATACCTGGGCTGTTACTCCTTTTAGGAAAGAGGGAAGTATGTGCTTTTCAATTTGTTTCATAAATAGTTTTAGAGAAAGGCCGGTCTCGACCATCCCACAGGAAAGCTTATTTGTGTAACCAATTGCTTTTTGTTATTACCACCCAGTTGACAGAGCAGCAGCAAGAGAAGGCAGAATGGCATACTTGTATCTCTCCCCTTAATATCTCATTTCAATCTATGAATGGTAACCAAAAGCAATGACTAAAATTGAGGAGAAGAGGATTTGAGCCAGGAACAGACGGGAAGAAACATCCTGGACAGCAGGATCTAACACACTATGCAACAGCCTCCCAAAGAGTAATGTTGTTTCATAGCACCCACAGTCCTGGCACATATTTCACTGAAGACAAAATACAGATATAGAGTAAAAGGAATACAAGAGTATAAATATTTATTGTTGGCACACACAATCCATCTGACATGTAAAATATAAACCAAAAAAAAACCAAGTCAAGCACAGCTGAATTAGCTGAACAGTCTAGAGAATCCACTCCAGGGAAACTGGCCACACAGAACGAAGAAGATGGTGAGATTACCGAGCAGCTCTTTCTCCCTCAAACTCCAATGCTGTTCAGCCTCATGAAATATGAAGATTTGACGATTCATCTTCCAGTCGCACAGATTACAAAGCTATGGGAACTTATGTTCAGTCAAGCTACATAAAATAAACTACCTTGCCTAGTAAGTGCTCTGTATTATTTTTATTTAATGCTCAAAGTGCGTGAAACCCTTTGACAAGCCCTTGCCGAAGAGTCTATATGCTAATAGACAAACCAGACTTAGAGCAGCTACAAGAGAGATTCAAAGTGATTTTGCTCTGGTGATACATCTCTGGACCATAATGAACTGTTTGCCCTGTGGATTCAGGAGAAACAAGCCTTCACACTGAGAAACACACAGCTGCCAATTTTTTTGGAGGCAATTACTCACAGGTCAGTGGGGTTTACAGACACTCATTTAAAACCAGCACAGCATTTGTCTTCAGCTTCACAGCCCTACCTTTCTCTGTTTTTAATTGGCTTGACAAGTTGCTTGCAATCATTACTCAACGTATTTTTCAAATGATTAATAAAAATGACACAGAGGGAGGGGAAAGATTGCTCATCAGTGACCTAGTTAGAAGCTTCTTGGCTGAGCCCTCTCCTCCCTGGTGGAATGCATTAAATCTTCTACATGTTTATTACTGGCAGATTGGGTAGCGATCGGGATTAAGTCATATGCCCAAATACGGTTGAGAGGAGCAGCTCCAGCCAGGACAGGCATTAATCCCCCAAGGCAACACACCTTTCTGTGCTCCCCGAGTCCTCCCATCCAGATCCCAGCTGCCAGCCAACCGGTTTCATAAAAGCACCTGGCTTCTCCCCAGCTCTCTGCCCTCCGAGATGTGGGCCATGCCCAGCCAGTGCCGCAGGCAACTTGACGTTGCTGGCCAAAAGGAGCATTTGCACCAGGGCTGGCAGAGAAGCGCATCAGGTTCAGTAGCTCGGCTGAACACCCCAGCTCTTTTGGAGGAAAGCTCTAGGAAGGTCAGTATTTGTATTTGCTGATTTCCAGTTGTGAACTGGTCAGAAAATGCGCGGTCAGGTGGGGTGGTCTGTAAGCAGGGGCGCATAAGCCTTTTAGTGATAAGCGAATGAGAAGTGGTTGGTGGTAGAAGTCAGGATGAACTGTGCCGAGGGAGCCTAGGGAAGCTCTGACATAGGCAGGTAAGTGGTGAGGTCACTCGGTTGCAGACTGGATCACTGAGGCAAAGAGAAATAGGCCAGTCTGTTCACGTCACACAGACCATTAGTTGCAGATAAAGGAAACCGGTTTCCTGTCCTGCAGTCCGGTCACTGGACCAACGGTTCCCAACCTGACCTTCAGGCAAGACTCATGGCCACTTCCTCCTCCTCCTCTTTACCTAGTAGCCCCTTGCCCCTCTCCTACTCATGATCCCATTTCATAACCCTACCTATCACTCCTTAGACATCTGGCAGCTCGTGACAGCCTGTCCTTCCTTCCCTTCCTTTGGACCTGCAGCGCCACCTTCCATGGGGCACCCTGCCTGCTGAACCCTGTTTCTTCCTCCCAGCTCCGGCCACTGCCTCCTCCCGGCAGCATCAGCTCTTGCAGAGGACCCAAGTGAACAAACCCAGCAAGGTTTCTTAGCAGGACTCCAAAGTGCACCCTTTGTGCTGACCTGCTCCATTACTGAGGTTCTCTCTCACTATGGGGAACTAAGGGCACAACACCATCACACCACAGGCTATGCTTGCTGGGGCAAACCTCAGAAGAAACATCGTAATTTTCAACAAACTGGAAATTTCACTCCCAAAATACAATTCTGGAAATCTCACATGTAAAGCAAACTTCCAGGGTCAAGGCTGTTCCTCTCAGGATCTCCCTCTGAACAACGACCCACCTAAGTCTGGATGGAGCTGGCAGAGGACTGGTACTCATGCCTCCCTTGCTATCCTCTTCCCCCAGGGCCAAGAAGCCAAATTGCACACAGCCTTCCCATTATTTAATGGGACAATCCTGGGATGTTGGAAAAAGCACTATTTACCACCTCCAGCCACACTCCCTGAAGGGATGGCGTCTCCAATGGAAGAAATGAAGTTGGCTCTAATTTATAGCTGTCCCTCCTGGAACACAAAGTGTCTCAGGAGTAACAGTGCTTAACAGTGGATCTGGGATGGACACAAGGGAAATAAAACCTGAAGTCAGGCAGAAGGACACTGTAAACTCAGCTGCTTCTAGGGATGTTTAGAGAGGCAGCAGATAGGGTTGTATTGTGACTCCAATGTGACATACCTCCTTTGAAGACCCCAAGCACATAGGAGTTGGTATTTCACTGGTTGCTGTTAAGAACTATTTGAATAAAAGTGGCACAATAAAGCAGGGGTGAGGTGCAGAGCTATGAAAGTACAAGGGCAATAGGAAAGGTGAGAGGTGGACCTCTCCCTCCGCAGGGCCTCCCACCACTCATTCAAGGAAAGGGAGGATAGTTTCTCCACGCAGCAGGAGCCATGATCCACACAGGAAGAATCTGCTTCGCTTCTAGAAAGAGCCACTTTGAAATGTTTCACATTCCTGAGCGGTGCTGCTGGATTTTCTCAGTTGCTTATCCCGTTTGCTTACAAACTTGCAGCATTACACAGAAAAAGTTGGAGGGACTCTTTGGCTAAGATTGCAGATCATGCAAATGGCACGCAAGAGAGAATGAAAGGGGGAAACAGCAGCAAGAGGACTCATCATGTCTTTAAGATTTTATCCAAAGAAAGCCAGACCCGTTCCCCATGCTTCAGGACTCAGATTTATGACACAACAGCTTTGTTTCCCCAGAAACAAAACTTCCCTAGTAACTTGTTTCCACCCAGCAGCCCTGGCCACTAACATCAGACACCTCAGCTCTTCAACAGCTGAAGAGCCTGCGGCCCTTTGAATACAAGAGGAGACACACTGCATTGACCTTTCAGAGCTTCACATGCTGCCTGGATGCTCTCTAAATGCATCTTTTTTGTCTTCCATTGTGCTTGTCCCAGCCTCTGCTTCAAGTTCTAGCCTTTTTTCTCCCTCTTTCACAATAACCACCCAGGCACCCTCCTCCCCACTCATCAGCCATACAGGAAATACAACCACTTACTCCAGCAAGCTGCATTTTACCTTGTCCTACAACTCCCAAGAGGCACTCTCTGCTGTCCAGGACACTGAGTGGGAAAATAAATATTCTTTCTTGAGGGAGCCCAAAGCTTCTCAAAAGACTTTCTCAAGCAAGCTCCCTTGGCTCTGCTTGCCGTTTCAACTCTAATCAACCACCTGAGATTCCTGCACTGCCTTCCTCTCAGTTGTGCCAGACCAGAGAAGACCCAACATTGGACAAACCACCCATCTTCTTCTCAATTTGTGTGCAGAAACAACAAGCAGGTAGGCAAATTCTCTCCTGTGTAATAAACTGTGCATATGTCTATTGTTCTGCCATTTGTAATCTTCTTTCTATGCCCTGAAACCCAATCAATTCTTCATCGATAAGGTCTTTGTCCCCCATTAGGTCTTGGCTCAGCAGTGAAGCACAGAAGACACACTGTCCTACAAAAGAAGGAATTACAGTTCACTAGGACGCAGGAAGAAGGAGAAGGTTCGAAAGACGTCAGTGTAGATTAAGAGTCAGAAATTGCAAATGACATCATGATATGACCTTCCGTTTCCTGCTAACCCACACATGTAGATTAGGACAAACGGCATAACAACACTTCACAAATATATAACACCTTTTATTAGGTAATCTCCAAGTTACTACGCAAACATTAATTAAGCTTCTTAGCACCCCTGAGAGGTAGGCAGCTAAGTATTACATCCTTCTACAGAAAAGTGTCTGTCTCAAGGTCAGCCCATGGCGAGAACAGGATTACAACTCCCATTCTCCTCTGACTGCTGGGCTGTATTCCCTACGCTGGCCTGGCTTGCTCCAACCTTTCA